GTACCGGGACGAAAACTTGCGGCGCCACAATATATTTGGAAGTCCAGAACCTAGACTGACAGCGAGGACTCAGGGACAGTTAGGCATGTACCCAGATGGGGACCATAACCCGTAGGAAAGTGACTGCAGCAAATGCACTGTTGACTGAGAACGAGCGATTGGAAGAGACATGAAGGAAAAGAAATAAAGGCCACGTGCTGCCAAGCCACTGATCTTGCACCGATCGGCGATCGTTGACTCTCGGAGTCTCGGTCCTCGGAGGCCGAAGATATTCAAGTTCAAAAGATAGCATGCTCGGCTGCATTGATTCCCTCTAGCCGACTTGAACGACTGACCTCGTCATGCATAAATCAAGACAACAGTCTGTAATACTAGTGACGCGCTCTACCACTGAGCTAAGAGGGATTAACGTGTTTTGAGTGTGCTCTCAAGGGTCGGAAGGTTTGGTTCAATGGTTGGAGCCTTTCGTCTCCTTTCGCATACTTATCAATGACTTGAGCTAGGACTCCTCGAAGAATTTCTTTCACCGGTAGACACATACTGTACTATTTCATTCAATTCGTTAGTCACGGGTCACAACGGACCCAAAACCGACGAATTGTCACAGTGGTCACGGGTCCCGGGGCCATCCGACGAATTTGCTGGGTGAAACGGAGTTAAAATTGCACCAAAATTGGCCGAAAACCAGCCGAAACAGACAAAAAGCGACGAAATTTTTTTCACGGTCACGGCACCTTCGGCGCCGCGACGAACTCAAATTTTCGTTGCCCCGGTCACAGGTCACAAGGGGCGACGAATTGAATGAAATACTACAGTACTTATTTTTGGGCAGAAAGCAAAAGTTTCACGTTAAAACTTCAAGACCTGGCAAGCTTTCGGTTGGCCAATTGATAGCAGCGACAAATGTACTAATAGCAAGTCGCACATCCTTAGCTACGATATCTATCAAGATGCTCCAATTATCGAAGGTCCGCGTCACACTCTACCGCCCGCCTCACTCCTTCTCCACTCCTCACTCAATCTCCACTTCAACGCGTCGCGTACCGTCATCCTTGCCCCCTCACCCCCGTCTCCTCTAGTCCACACCCTATCCGGCACCTTCCCTTCTCCTCGGCTCCAGGAATCCCATTGAACGAGATAACACCCAATCCCTTACACGTCTCAAAGAACCTTGCCGCGCACTGTCTCTGCTCCTCATCAATGCCATCATCAACGGGATAGTCCATGCGCCGTCGCGTTCGCCTGCTCCATTTATACACGAAAAGAATGAGGATCTCAAGGCACGGCAGATGTGTAGCAATCAGCGTGGGCTATGGGAAGATTATTATTATCGCAAGGAGGGAGACTAAAAAAAGTAAACGTACCAGCCCCTCGACGTCCACTGACCGTCCAATCTCCAGAGAACGCAGCCCCGGCCACGCTCCCCTGCAAACCGTACATTCTCACTCATATTTCCAGCAGCCCTGTCCCAAAAAATACCGCCTCCGGCCTTCCACCACCACCCCGGCCCTCGCAAAATATCCTGTGCCTCACCGACACAGTCTTGATCGTGCTCGGCAACCCAGTATCCAAGAACATCGTCGCAAACTGGACATGCTCCAACAACGGAGCGGACACCGACAAATCAAGAGTAGTATCGCGCTGCACCGGACCACGTTTCATATCGAGAGAAATCAGCTGAGGGAAACAGCGCAGCAGAAGCGCCTGCAGGCCAGGGGACTTGTGAGATATTGTTAGCTCCCGTACATTCGGGCACACAGGGAACCGCTTCCACTCGTCTTCCTCGATGAGTAATGCGTCCGGTGTGTGGATGTGCAGAGACTGCAGCGTCGATGCCGAAGACGCGATCATACGCCGGTACACGTCGAGGTAGAATGGCTCCTGCATGAGATACACCGTCAGGTGTCGCAGCGAGTTTCACAGCGGCGGAAGTGCCCTAGTATGCTGTACTTCTTCGACAGGATCAAAGAGAAGGGTATTCCACTCGGCCGCGATGAGATGCAAAGTTGACAACCGGGGAAATAGACGTGCAAGCTCGTACACCCCGTGGCGGTACTCCTGCCCGGGACTGGGATCCGTCGAGCTCGGGTGTCTCGTCCCGTAACTGGGATACACCCACAGCTCGCGCACATCTTGCAGCCAAATGTCGCCAGAAGATCTTTGAGCCAGGAAGCTTTCTCGGCTCCCCAAAAGTCTAATGCCGGCACAGCAACATGAAGGCAATGCAGGAACTTGCTCATACTTGGATTGGACACCAACGATGCAAGAAGCCTACGCATGTAGTTTTGTAATGCCAGATCGAACGCGACTGTTCGGTCTGGTGGAGGCAGGACAACGCTCAAAGGGTCAGCGTAGAGAATGGGACGGCAGACCGTGCGCATTTGTTGGGATACACGGATAATGGAGAGGAGAGCATTGCGCGGGAGGAAGGAGAGGATGTGGATGTGTAGTTCAAGAGGCAGCGCTGTAAAAGGAGATGGTTTGAGATCCTTCACTTCTACCGTAGGAAGGTCTGGCACCACCGGAATCGGAGGCGGCTCGTCCACTTTGAACGCGGAGCAGATGAGCTCCAACTCATCCAACACCATCTTGATAAACTCCTTCTCCCCAAACGCAGGAACTTCAGTGAGACCCAATGCCCAGTCTCTAACGGCGGCTTCGCGCATGATGGCATACCACGATACCATGAAATCAAAGCTTCGCTGAAGGTAGCGTTGTCTCTCAGTGGCGTCATAAACAGAGTCGGGATTGGAGATCCAGAAAGGAAGATGAAGCCGCTCGTCTGCGATCGTTTTGTCGCCGTCGGCGACAGCGACATGCCAAGCTCGTTGCCGTTGCGTGAAACCCAAAGTCCGCTTCTTTGTGCCTTGAAAACCAGACATCGCATCAACGAGATTGACGAAGAGGTACCGAGCGATCGTCTGTGAGGCGTAGGCACCAAGCCCAGGTAATCCGTGACCTTGAATGAAAAGCATTGAGATGCAGTTAGATACATAGATGAAAGTCCTTACCACGCGGGCGTAGATCCTGCGATTCCGAGAAACAAACACGTGGATGCTGGGCAAGGTATAGCAGGGTGGGCAGATACTCGTATGGGTTTTCGGGGTAATTGAGCGCGAAGATTATGAGAAAGAGGGCGTTGGCGCCCCTAAGCGGGCTGCCCGACATCGACCACACGCGTAATGTGGAGTAGTTCGCAACGACGCGTCCCCAAAGCATTTTGCTGATGAGGGAAGGAGGAAAAAGCTGTTCATCATTGACAAGACCGGAGGTGTGCCAAGCGTCGGGCTTGGGGAGGACGGATGTATATGCATTGGAGTGTTCAACGATGAGTGATACGAATGCACGAGCAAAGTCGAGAGTCGCTGCCTCTCGCGTTGCGTCGTCGGATGTTGGCCGCACTTGGAAATCTGGTTTGATGGGCGAGGGGAATGGCTTCCCCAGATCTGTTACCACTAAATGATGCTGAGCATAAGCACCACGATATAAAGCGAAAGAGACTCACGATGTGGTCTCCTGGGTTCAGCCGATGTTGGCTCAGGAGCGAAATGGATATGCTCTATGAGACCTACGCAAGAGTTCACGGTTATTCATCTGTCATTAATGATTATCTTCACCAGTCCATGGTATCTTTGACTCTAAATGAGAGGCGATCATGGTAGTTATGTTCCAGGAATTCGGTTCTGCGCATGCTGAAGATGATTGTCAACAACCGGACCGGTTCCTGGAGTACGGACGGCCGAGGCATCCATCAGCAAGATTCGAATCTTATGTGTGTCATGCCTCCAGTGGTATGCGTACTGTGCTTGGCTGGCGACTGCGACACGAGAGCAGATCTTTCATGTAGGCCTCAAATGGCAATGAGTAACTATTCGTCCGCAATTACGGGCCTTTCTAAAGCGTCAATAGTGGGAAAGGACGCGTTTGAGACACACGCAATTTACTACTCTTCTGAATTCTCTGAAACTCAACGTGTCAACACGAAGAATGGTGCCAGTGATGAGCGAGTGCCATAGCTTTGATTAGCTTTGATCGATGCCGCATTTCGCCACGGAACCTCTTTTTCATCCTCTACGCTCATCGCCTCGCCTGGACGAAAGGCCTGTACAAGCGGGTTCGTTGCCTACGACATCTCTTGCACTTCGCCGGCTTTGACTCATTGTCCGCTTTTATGACTTCCGCAATCGATACCCGCGCTTGCTACGACATTGCTGATTGGTACGTGACCGTGCCAGACTGAGGAAGACCTCAAGGAAAGGTGGCGCAAATTCAATCCCATGATGTGCAAAAAAAAGTCATCGAATTTTTCTATTTCCCTCTAGCCGACTTGAACGACTGACCTCATCATACCGCTGTTGAGTACTAGTGATGCGCTCTACCGCTGAGCTAAGAGGGAGCCTGCTGGCCGTGAGCACTGAGCATCAATGACTCAGAGTCATACAGTGATATGAACATCGACTTTGCACAATTGCAGACTTGACGATGCTTACCCTGACTGTACCTGACTCTCGCTGATACTTACTTGTTCACACCGTCGGACGTGAAGCATACGCTATGATTCTCTTATCATCTGCCAGGATCAGCTGAGGACCGAGGTCGCGAGACGAGAGATTAGACGTGGTCGAACCACAAGCTTGACCTGTACCAGCGCAGACTTGCAAACCCGTCCTTCCAAGCCCGCCCAAAGCGCGTTCCAGGGATACCTGCCCGCCCTGCGCCCTCTGACGACTCTCACGATGGTCGTTGGCTTTGGTAAAAAGTGGAATCCAGAGGGACTGGTGCGCTTCATATCGTTTACCTAGAGATTTTGCTAACCCAGCCACAGCATGTCTACATCACAGGAGGCAGCCAAGGGCTTGGGCTATCCTTTGCGACTATAATGGTACAAAAGGGCGCCCACGTATCCATTGTCGCGCGGAATCAAGACCGCCTGAAACAAGCCGTCGAGTTGCTCAAGGTACATCGTGGTCTAATTGCGCACGCGCTGCTGACCGCCCCCCAGACGCATCAGAAATCCGCAGACCAAAAGATTCACGCGTATTCATACTCCCTCTTTACGGCAAAAGAATCGACAGACGCGCTCAATGCGGCGTGTGTTCCATTCGACGGCAAGGCTCCTGATGCAATCATTGCGTGCGCCGGGGGCGCGCATCCCAAGTTTTTCGTCGAGATGTCCGAGGAAGACCTTGACCACGGAATGAAGGAGTCGTATTGGGTTCAGGCCTGGACAGCGTGGGCCGCCGCAAAGATGATGGTCCGCCAGAAGCGATACCACGACAACTCTAAGATTGTCCTCGTCTCGTCCATGATAGGATTAATGACGTACGTAGGATGGTCGAATTACTCCCCAGGCAAGTTTGCTCTACGAGGTACGTACTAATCATGTACCACCTGCACATTGATAA